ATTTATTTATTTTTAAAAGTTTTTTTTTTTAATTAAAAAAATTTTTTTTTATTTTGAGAGAGAGAGAGCACTAGTGGGCTCAAACTCACGAACCATGAGATCATGACCTGAGCTGGAACCAAGAGTCAGATGCTTAACTGACTGAGCTGCCCACGTGCCCCAGGTTTATTTATTTATTGAGACACAGAGAGAGAGAGAGAGAGAAAGAGAGAGACAAAATCCCAAGCAGGCTCCTCGCTCTCAGTGCAGAGCCTGACATGGGGCTTAAAGTCACAAACTGTGAGTTCATGAACCGTGAGATCAAGAGTTGGATGCTTAACTGACTGAGCCCCCCCAGCACCCCCTTAGTTTATTATTTCTTTTAATGTGTGTGTACATGTGTATGGAGAACAGAAACCATTCTAGATATTTCAAGCAGGAATACATTTCATACAGGGAAGTACATACTTACACAATTATATTTAGATTCTGAAAAAAACCGAAGCTGTGGGTCTGCCCCGGGGATATTGAATTCAAGGTTATACCATCATAACTGCAGTCCAGAAGTCAGGGGGCTGTTGTTACCGCTTCCTGTCACCGCTGCTGCTACAACTATGCTCGCTCATATCCACAAAACTGTTGACTGGATAGAATGCCCTGGAAGTTTCTAGGGAGGAGGAGTTACAAAGTGTGGCGTGCTCCTGGTATCTGCATGGCGAATTAAGAGTCCTGGAGACCGCTGAGGAAATGGTTAAACTAGCTCATGCAGGCAGTCCTTCTATGAGGGACAAACATTTTGCTCCATTCACAACTGCATTCTCGTTTCCTTCCTTGTGTACTAGTACAGTCATGATGCAGGAAACTTTTTTTTTTTTTTTTTTTTTTTTTTTTTTTTTTTTACTTTTTTTTTTAGGGAGAGAGAGAATCCCAAGCAGGCTATGCATGGTCAGCACAGACCCGATGCAGGGCTCAAACCCACATGACCTGAGCTGAAGTGGGACACTTAACCGACTGAGCCACCCAGGCGCCCCTGCAGGAAACATGGTCATGATAGGGTAAATCAACATCACTTCTGCCTCTCGTCCGGTGTGGCAGGCAGAAAGAGACAAGAGTACAGATTTGATGTTTTTATTTATTTCTAGGAGAGAGAGAGAGAGGCAGCGTGAGCAGGGGAGGGTCAGAG